AAACTACAAGTGTTCAATGCTATTGTAACAACCACACATAAGAACAGATAAACGCGTTAGCTAGGCTAATATAAACGTGTATAATTCAGTTTTATTAAACATTTTGAGTAAACAAGAGGAGAATCGAAGTCCAGAGGAAACGAGAGGAGAAGACTAGACTGGGAGGGAGGGAGAGATGCATCGTGTCATATACTGTCAATAATATTTATGGGTGAGGATAAGTCATTCTATGGCATAGTCCCAGGAAACACTTTGATTAACTCGACCCGATCACAACCATTAGCCTACCATTACCTAATATTATAGTGTTACTTTTCACTGCAAATACATTTGTATTATAGTGGGGTTTTTTTACGATTTTTGTTTTATTTTTTTAATTGTACTTTTGTTGTTGTGTATCCTGTGCTGTATCTTATTGTACATGTTGTGCTTTGGCAATGTGGATGTACATTTCCCATGCCAATAAAGCCCTTTGAATCTTAAGAGAAAGATTATGGTAGGCTAAAAGGCAATAAAACATAGTTTTCGTTTTAATTAAAAGTACATTTTTAATTTTAAAAAAGAAAATTATACATATATTATATTATATTGGGTCGATTTTTGCACACAGTCTATCTGTCAGAAAATGCCCCCCCCCCCCCCCCCCCCCCCCCCCACACACACACACACACACACACACACCACCCTGCTAACTCTGGTAGCCCAGCACAGAGCCCACCATCCACATCAGTTTGTTATTGGGTATTTATGAATACTGCTGCATGGAAAGGGCAGCCACTAACCCCAGAGAGCTCTGCTACAACAGTTTGCCAAATCTTATTACACACATGGAAGGACGTCTTTATCAAAGAAGCCTGTTCACGAAGATACAGCCGATGGTAGATAAGTACATCATTCGCCCTGATGGGAAGCTACAGGACCCGGCTGCTCTGGGCTCCTCATGGCATGGGATGTCCGTGTGGCCAGTCTATAGTAACTAAGGGCCATAGGGGTCAAGCAAGGGGGTTTCCACAGCATGGGTACGTTTCCCAGGCTCAGGCTGAACAGGCATTAAACTACTGCACACTGCTGGTCAACACAAGCCATAAGCACCTCATGAAGGTTGCTGAGTGCATCACCTGCTCACTACTGACTACAGTACAGAGGGGAAAGGTGCGTCAGTGCTTTCCGTGTTTGTAATTTCAGGGGGGAAGGACGGTCCTCTGTATAGCATTTGAAGTTAAAACTGAAAATGAAACCAACATGCCAATGGCACAATATCGGTCTGTTACCTTGCTAGTCAACGTGCATAACATCTGAAGCTACACAACACACCATTTCCAGTGTTTATTGTAACATTATACATTGCTCAGGTGAAATGTAATGTTTTTAACAGCATATGAGTAAACTATTAACTTCCCGGTAGGATTCAAGTGTCAGGGATTTAAGTTTGTGTTTTAGCAATTGCATAATGACATGCACAACTGTGATTCATAATGATATGCTTTGCAAAACACAAAATGTCTCTTTTCAATCCTTGTTCAAGTTTGAAAAATGAATGAAAAGAAGCAAGAAGCAAGCTGCTTCAAAAAACTGGTGTGGTTGTTTATCGTATGTATGTTTATCTTTTGCTGTTTTTTTGTCTAATCCATCAATTTGAAGGCATCCTTACACATTGGATTCAATTAAATAAGAATCATGTTAATATTTAATATTGATTTGTTATGCTAGACGACCGAAGCCTGCTGCACCACTGGTGTAGGGAAGAGACTGAAACAGCTGTTGTTATTGTTTTTTTATACACTGTTATTTGTAGTGGTTATGGAAAACTGCCATTGTGCAAAACTGCCATTGTGCAACAGTATCCCATCTGAAACACTCGATCAGGAAGTAAAATTGTGACATTCTTGCTTATTGTATGATATCATTTGAAGTAGCTGACGCAGACGTCCTCTCTGTCCCAACTCCGACTCTCGCCCGGAATCATGCTCTAACGCTGAGAAAATGTCTTGGGAAAAGGACGCCAAGAAAGCAGTCATCAGTGATCGAAACCGATTCCGATAACGTTACTACTGACGGAAAATCCACTGAAGTGTGTGTGTGTGTGTGTGTGTGTGTGTGTGTGTGTAATTTGTAGATATGTTATGCTGATCAGAGATGGCCGTCTGGGACAAGGAGCAGGCTGAGAAAGCATAATTAATAATTGAATGATTTTAACATTTGAAGTTGTTTTTTTTTAGAAATGTTTGTTGTTTTTGGTGTAGAGCGAGAAACATGTCTGGAAATAATCAACTGGTAGTATAATCGTACTGGTTGGTCATTTATCTTAGCAAACCAGCCAAAAACAGCCGTTGCTCATGAAAGCCATCGTGCCCCGCAGATCCTTTTTTAGAGCAGCCTACTGGCACCTTTTTCATTCAATTTCAAGTACTGGCCACGACTAATCGTGAACATCCCTACTACTAATACTTCAACTAGGATACTTTTACAGCTACAACTACTATTACTACTTTGACTACAATTACTTACTTCTACTGCTGCTACTAAATCATGCTAATACAACGACTACTACTTTCACTGTGCAGGAAATGATTATGTGTTGGGCACCCACCCCTGTCACTGCCGCTAGCCCTTAGGATTGTTTGGGCCAGAGATTGCTATCAGGCGTCTGGTGCAAATGTCACGTATGACTGATCATTTGCAGCCATTTTCTTATCTCAAGCACGTATAACCAGTGGTTCTGAAACCAGCCACCCCTCTATTCAACTCTACTCTATGACTTTTTAACATTTATCATATTATATCAAATTGTTGTGTGTTTTTTTTAAGGCTACTAAAGGACGAATACAGGCTAAAACACTTTGATATTATTATCAAATGGCTAACATTGATTAACCATTCATTCCAGGGTTTATTTTTCTTAAATGTGTAATATCGTACTTTATCGTTATTTGCAATTTTTCAATGGCTAACTTGTCAGGCTTCCCACGATCTGCTCCAGTGCGCTAATTTCCTACGTTACCCAGAATGACTTACGCTACCCCGTCTCAACATCATGAGGCAACATTCAGAAAATTGTACATTTCTAAATTAAATAAATGAATCAAATGTAATATAATATGTATAACAGCCTTTATTATTTATTGTGAAACCTAGCAAGATATTTTCCAGTTTGCTATGATACAATATCAGTATGCCACACGGAGCTAACATTAGCTTAACCAGCAGTGCTTTTGAGAATACTCAATGGCAGTTTTTCGGTGCTGGATTTTATGTCGTGTACCCCTCGCTTTTCGGGAAAAACTAGTCCCAAACCAAAAAAAACGAAACCTTTCGCAGAGTTGTAGCCAAGACTTTGGTGAACATTTCGGTATGCAACTATCACTGAGGCTAGCAAGTTTATGCTCAAAGAAAAAAGGGGATATCCACTGAACCACTGAACAGTGTACTGCATATCGAAACCGAGATGCATCGGCCGTATCTGGGCTCCCTGCTGCCAAAGATGCCAACAGACCAAATCTGCCGGGTCAACAGTGACCACCAGGCCAGTTCCTCTTTGAACGAGGCCATGCCTCGGCAGCTAAACGGAGATCATGGCCACGCCCGAAGCTTGCAAAGCCAAAGTGCATTCTGGATTTAGGACACTGCTGGCCCGGCAAAAATGTGTGTGTCCTCTTAATAAATTCTAATACTGATTTCTCGCCATAGGAACATTGCAAAAATGTAACATGCAGTGATTCTGAGACAGAACCCCTGAGTTGTCGTCATATGGAAATTAAACTAATATCTGGTACTTAATGGTTGATACCTTCAAATCACTACAGCTATTAGAAGACATACTCTCCTATTAAACCCAATTGTAACTACTGCTGCAATGTCTCTGTGTGACATAGTAGCGTCCACAGAAATTGAGTTTAGCTGCGGCAAAGTTAAATAATACACAAAATGGTAAAATAGCACCTGGGTGTGTTGTACATCACGGAAAGACATATCTTAACGATGTCAAAGTGTTTTAGGCCGTAGTTTCACTTTAAGACGTTATTGCTGTGTTGTGTTCATTATGTTATCATCTTTGAGTGACATTGTATTCTCATATCATACCACAATGTGAGGTTTGGATTATCAGTGACGGGGCGAAGCACAGTATAAGTTTGATCAATAATAACCATTGACTTTAGTTTAGCTTCACATAGAGAGGCCACATCAGCAAAGCAGTGGACTGAATTTGGTTGGTTGTGAGGGCCACCGCCTTTTGGGTTTGGGGCACGAGCCCCTTGAGGCTCGGGCCAAGCCCACGTCCATCACCACTCAAACGGCACAGGAATGAAAAGAGGGAACCTAAACCGCACCCTTTTGAAGTGACCGAAAAAACAAAACATTCACTCTGCTGGTTTATACATGTGACATCTATTTCAGACCCAGGCCACTCTCACACTGGCAAAATAAACCCCTACTTCCCAATTTGTTTGTGGAAAGAAGTGAGGAATCGGATAGGAATTGCATAGCGGGGTGCCAGGACATAATCACAGTGTAAGTGATTACTTAACTCATTATTGAATTCAAACAAGGGCTGTGTTTGTTATTCTCGGAGAAGCAGATTCACACTGTACTTTGCGCACTGCATCATGGTATTTTTTTGGGTGCAATGTCGTTACATGGATGATTATCAGCAAAATCCAAGCATTCCGGTTTTGTTTTATTTTTTGTCGGATTTAGGGAAAATCGCCTCGCATCTCCGTCTGACTTGGTTCTCACAAAGCAAGCCAGGATCTGCAACGCTTTCCCAGACATGTCAGGCTCTGAGATGCGCTGTAGGTCTCACACATCACACACTGTGCTTGAGCTTGATGCCATGTCTAATGTCACTCGTGTTGTTCCTATATGCTGTGCAAACATGTTACATTTCCAACCCTCACGTTTGTTATGACAGCGTTGGAACCAAAAACTTTAACTTAGTTTCATTCAATGTAGTATGTGAGATGGATGTAACTACGGATTGATGTCTATAGCGTCTACATGGAGGCAGCATAGTCTAGTGAGTCAGTGGTTAGGGTGACTCCAAGTGGAGAGGTCCTGGGTTCAAACCCCAGTGTCGACATTGAGCAAGATGTTTAAGCCCTACCTGCACTTTAATGACATGGCATCAGAAATTCTTTGTCTAAAAGTGTCTGCTAACTGATTGAATTTTAAAATATGCACAGTGATGTATTGCTGCGGTCAGTGGTGCCAGTGATTTTTGTATGTTTGCATGACCTTCTCTTAAAAGACAAGTGTATATTTGCCAGGTCAATATTTCTAACAGTTGACTTTCAAGATCAAAAGTCAAAACCATTCCATGATACTTTTAAAGTTTCCCCTCCTGCATTATTCCCAAAAGTGAACATGGCATCCACATGTGCAAGCATTATTATTAATATGGCAAAAAGCAACGTACACCTTCAAATCATATTTCATGTGGCAGCTCATTCAACATGACTCATCACCTGCCAGACACCTTTCCACAGGTGAATTCAATTCTTTCAAGTTGAATGAGCTCCTTGAGTTCTCAGAAAGCAAATAGAAAGAACGTTGAAGTATAGCTTTAAATTATGTCATGAGAGTAGTTGAACGTAGCTTACTGAAAATGCTGTCAATTATACGTTGCCTGCTGATAACTGATTGCAAAGTAGTCCATTGGGGGAAAGCACATACCAATACAGACAGGTCTGTAAATTATAATCAATACAAAAACGGTTCATCCTCATCCACATCCACAGCACAAATTACCATTACTGACAATAGGAGGGAAAAAGGTTTGGACACACATGAGACGCAGTCTTGTCACTAGTCCATATAATCTGTTGATATAGTCTGCATAATCTAACCTGCCTATAAAGACAGCACAGCCTACTAAAAATGTGATGTTTACATTTCCACCTCACACCTCATCTATTCACAGCCTTTGCTAAAACAAAAGCTTTTTTAAAAAAAAGAGTTGGACACATTGTTCTGTAAAGCAGCACTGTTGGCCCAGTATGACACATATCCATATCACTGCAATTAGTGTCATTTCCTGTTACCTCATTTCCTGTTGCCTTTCAGTTTTGAAGGGGCCATTCTTTTGTGTGCTGAGCAATGCGGTTTCCTACTCTTTTCATTGTATGCTTATGTCCCTTATAAATGTCCTAAAGCAATCGTCTTGGAGATTTTCATGTAAACACATTTCTGTTAAGTCACTATCCGTCGCCGAATGAGGTGACACAATGGTGACTGAGCCTATGGCCACTGATGAAAGCCCTTTGCATTTGCAGTATTACGAATGTTACGTCGCCCAACAGCAGGTTCCCCCAGAGAGTAGATATTGGGAACAAAGAAAAGATTGACGACTACAGACGATGAAACTAGTTTAAATCTAAAGAAAAATAAACACAGTTGACCTTTTGAAGAAGGCAAACAGTCATTCTCACCATTAGGTGAGAAAGAAACAGAAAATCTTCGAGGTTGCCACTTAATATCTAGAAAAGAAATATGGTAACACTTTAGATTAGGGACCACATATTCACCATTAACTAGTTGCTTATAAGCACGCATATTGTCTCTTTATTAGTCATTATAAAGCACTTATTAATGCATGCAGTTCTACAACTACTAGGCCATTAACTTTAAAAGTTTTCCATCAGTAACCTCCTAATTACTGATTATTGATAGTAAGTAAGGAAGTTGTTGTACATAAATGACGATCTTAGCAACTAGTTAATGGTGAATATGTGGTCCCTAATCTAAAGTGTTACCAAAAATACACACAAGTAAATTAAAATTGAAACTGTTCATTTTCAAAGAATTAAGCTTTATTGGATCCTTTCATCATTCTGCTATCCTCCAGATTTTCCGCCTCCAAAATGACGACCAGCTTGTTTCCTTTTTACGACGTGTCAGTCTAACACCTCGTGATTAACAGCCAGCCAGCCTGAGGTTTCAAAAAATGTACAAACATTTCCTCGGGTCACGGTATTGTGTCTTGAGGAGCAGAGAAGTATGAACCCGGCATGCTGAACTTGGGAGGGTTAACATTTGCTCTGTGCTCCCTCCTCCTTGACGTCTCCGGGCTGCAGCCCCGGCGCCTGTGTGCAGCGTGCAGCACATTTCCAACAGTCAGACACACAGAGCGCCAGAGAGAGACAGAGGGGCAGAGAGGCGGAGAGGAGGGAACTGCATACAGCAACTCCTGTGGCTCCTAACCGGGACCTTTTTTCTTTTGTGTCTCCCAGCGCTACTCGGTTCTGTTTTTTTTCCCCTTACCGGCATCGCATCAACCCATGGGACTGCAGGTCTGGCCACCCAGCAAACCGCCACCGTCCTCAATGGCCTGCCTCGACGTTGAGACCCCCACCGTCTGCAGGGGTAAATACAAATCAGGTGCTCTCTCTTTCTCTGTCTGTCTGTCTGTCTGTCTGTCTGTCTGTCTGTCTGTCTGTCTGTCTGTCTGTCTGTCTGTCTGTCTGTCTGTCTGTCTGTCGGTCAGTCCCAAGGCATGAGATGACATGGCAAAAGTTTTAACCTCGCTGCGATCACAGCTGATGGATGGCAGAGATGGAGTGAGCATCCAGGAGATGTTTTTGAAGATAATTGCGTCACATTGAAGTTGTGTATTTTAGTGGTGGCGTTGTTGTTGTTGTTGTTACTCCGTTGTTATGCCGTTGTTGCTGTTGTGTCCGATGACGCACCGCGAATAGACACATGCCACATTGCAAGTGCACCACAGCATCCTTTTATGTTGTTTTAAACCTGCACACCTTTTTCATAACTTTTTGTTTTGTATCTCTCGATCCATACACACGGTCTGGAGAGAGAGAGAGAGAGAGAGAGAGAGAGAGAGAGAGAGAGAGAGAGACAGAGACAGAGACAGAGAGAGAGAGAATCAAAGAGAGAAAGAGGAAAATCAAAGTAAATCAAAGTTTGAACAACAGTAAATGGTCATGGTGAGAAAGTGACACAGTGCAGGTTTAAATGTACAGCAACGTATTCTTAGCGTATAAATATTCTTAGTCAACTTGTTAAAACTCATTTAATGTGTAATAAAGGAGCATACATAAGTAAGACTGAAAACAGCCAAACCAGACAACCAAGTAACACTACAAGTGGCATTATAGTGAGTAGGGGCTACAATCACATTCAGGCTTAAAGACTATAATTTGGACATCTTAAGACATTTCATCTTTTTTTACAAACTTTCCATTGAGGAAACACTTAGCCCACTTAGTATCTGCCTTGAGCCTGATTATACTGTATCCATTGACCGTAACAGGATTCTCGCTTTGTGTCTCAGTCTCCTGAGCAGTTGCAGCTCTGTGTTTTATAATAATCTTCTTGTATTTACAGCGGTGCGGGCCAACACAACCTCCATTATTAGTCTCCGCAGCAACAACAACAGCAGCCTATCTTTCTTTTGTCTGGACTGTCTCTAAAAGAAACATTAATAAATGTCCGCGGACGTACCGCGGAAACACGTCGTTATAAATCTGAAAAGCTGAAACACATGTAAATAAAAGGTCAGAGCCGAAGGAGATTAGAGGACGAAGGGCTGCTTGCTCGCTGAGCACATGGGCCCTTAGATTAGGGATGACGTCAGAGGAGAGACCAGACGTTTCTCCGGAGCGCCGTGTGTTTCTAGTATCACTTTTTTTTTTTGTGCACCGTCAACCGAGCTTGAGAGAGCGGGAGCCGGCATGAAGGTCAGCCAGGGTTCATGCTGAACACACTACAGTATATATGTGTATATATATACTGCCAGTATATACCTACCTACATATTCACCTTTGGAAAACCAACGCAATGCATTATTTGTAGTTCTGCATTACGTTTCCATCACCCAGGTTTGCATTTAGAAAGCATTTCGATCGGGTTTTCAGGTTTCCCCCCCCCGACCAACAAACCGATACGGCCGCTCGGCGAGTCAGGCCTAGAGACGCCCCAGTCGAAACTAGTACGAAAAGCCTTAGGCCTCAGGAGTCAGGTGTACCGCCATGGCCTTGCTCACGCTCACCACTGCCATGTCTAGCACAACAACGCCTTGATGCTCTTGCAGGGGGTTTTCCAGAGTCAGTGAGCCCAATGTGAATACCCAGCGAGTCGATGACCGCTCCCATTTTGTTGTTCTTTGTTTGTCTGTATTGTGGCCCTCCAACACTTTTATAATGGGAAACATGTCGGATGGCGAGGGCACACAGTGTACTACCGCCAACGGGGGCGTTGATGTGCGTCCTGCTGCTCATGTACTGCAGTAGAGGTTGTGGGAGCCCCCATGATCTTCCTGCCCCTTGGACCCCCCCCCCCCCCCCCACCACCACCACCCCCTAGTGCTGTGGTCCTGTCCGGTCCTCCATTGCCCACCAGGGGAAGGCCTATGAGAGTGGTCCCCCTCTCCTTAAGATTACAACCCCCCACCCCATCCTCCCTAGCCTCCCCTCCACCACCCCCACATTTCATCGTTCCCAGGCCCTTGTTCTCACAGCTGCCTGGTTTATTTTAGCTGGAGTGAGTCACAGAGGCCCTTGCAGTCCCAGTCCCCTTCCCAGGGGAGACTTGAGTAGGGCTGTGTGTGTGTGTTTGCTTGTGTGTGTGTGTTGTGTGTGTTTTTGCTTGTGTGTGTGTGTGTGTGTGGGGGGGGGGGGTATGGGCACTGTTTCTGTTTGCCGTGTTGCTCTTTGAGACATATGCGGACTGGAGTGCACTACAAATGGGCATCAATTACACCCCAGCACCATGTTGACAGCGTGTGTGTGTGCGTGTGTGTGTGTGTGTGTGTGTGTGTGTGTGTGTAAAGGTATTCACACCCTCTGCTTAATTTATTGGCATGAGCCGTCGCTTCCTTCTTTAAACGCTCACTCTTTTTTTTTATATTTTCCTTCCCTTGCCGACCGGTGTTATCGTGTTGGAAAACATGGCCACGCTCTCTTGTTTGTAAATGTTTAAACTGGAGTCTTACCGTAAGGTTTATAGTGAAGAAGACGAGCAACGTTGGAAGTACGTGTGCGTTAATACGTCACGTATTTGTTTATTCACTTTTGACTGCGTGTTTGCATCATGCAAAGAGACGTGGGCTCCGATAGGTCAGAGCTG